TATACTTGTATACATTCTTATATACATTTTAGTTTAACGTTCGGATTATGTAATTAAGATAATCTAGCATATTATTATTATTTCTGTTTGATTATGTTCAGGGTCCCCAAAAATAGATGTAGAATTTATTATTAAAATCAACATTCATAAGTTACATTATATAATTTTAGTTAAGTCTATAAAGTTTCTATCCTTTTTAATACATTTAAATATATCTCCTTTTATATATAAAAGAAATACATATTGAAACTTAAAAAATCTATTTCTACATAAATATCGATTATATAACGTTTTTGTTTATTATAATTGTTATAATTATGAATTACTGACGATAGTGCACAAGAAAATAAGGAGATAGAATGTATATTTCGTTAGGTAAAAAAAAATTAAAAAAGATCAGATAGCACACTGTGTTTCAAAACGGTCCAATACCCATCCAATAATGAATAATTTACAAGATTGAGAAGTAACTAATTAAGAAGGTTCGCTTGTTAGTCGAAAATCAACTTAGAGTCTTAATTTTTTTTTATATGATGTAGATAAATACTGTACACAAATAATTCACAATTTGTGCGTGTGTGTAATTCACAACGAGCAATATTGATCGTAGTTTTTTTATTGTAATATTATTCTGAAATTGACCATTTTAAGCACATTGCTTTATGGGAAGCGGTTCCGAAGAAGATAATCATCGATTTAATACATACTCAGCTAACTTAGGACTTTGAAAAACTATCATTTGACAGATGAAATATCAACAATTGTGTATAAAAAAGAAAAATTGGACTTTACAGTATGGATTTAAAACTTTATTGTTACAAAGTTTACCTTTACCTGACGGATCGCATTAGTAGTAACAGACTTGGCAACGCCGCAGTGAACAGCTGATACGAAGCCAACTTCATATAACCTAGAATCCATCTCGGCGTAAAGAAACAAATATGAAAATAATACAAAATCGACCTTTACATCGATTCTGAATTGCTCTCTTATTATTTGCTATAGCCGGTAACTGCCTGTCACATCGCGAAGTACAACGCAGTGCAATGTTGCCAAATATACACTCGACTTTTCGAGTCGTTGACAATAGGTGCATTCAGTATTACAACCGCTCACTGAGCGCTCAGTAAGCTCTTGCATTTGATTGGTATATTACGTTAGAACTAAAAATATAGCTAAAATCTTAATTTTCAATGCGTAGTCTGATTTCGGCCTAAGGCAGTTATAGTTAAGGGGTACGGGTTCTACAATGGCTGCGTTCAGCAGACTCAACAGTTTTGCAACAGTTTTATGATTGGACGCGTTCAAGTTGACAAAGCGGCTAACCTGCTCGCCAAGCAAATGAACATAATTGGTTGTTATTTATAGATCCAACCAATCATATTCAATCGCTCGGTAAGCACGCCTAGCCGCTTTGCCGTCTTGAACTCGCCCATTGTCTGCTGAGATAGGACCATTCTTCTAGTTCTAAAAGTATGATCCAATCAGCGCGAAGGAAACTTCCAACAGTTGCAAAACAACCGTTCTGCTGAACGCAGCCAAATGAGTCTTTAGTCAACAATCGGAAGTCTTTATTTAAGGCCATCATACGTACAAAAATTTTAGTCGTAATCGTAAGACCGTAAGCAAATCGGCCAATCACAGTCGAGCGTTTAAAAACGGGAGATCTTAATTTTGATTGTGATTGGTCGATTTGCTTGCGACCTTACGATTTCGATTAAAATTTTTGTACGTGTGATGGCCCTTAAGGCCATTCTACATCGGTCGTATCGTAGCGTCGGAAGTGTCGTAAGCATCATACGACTTAGAAATTGAAGCATCGGATTGGCTCAAGCAACAAACTTGTGACTTGCGACGTCTACGATACGACCAATGTAGAATGGCCTTTAGGCCTAAGACGCTATCGGTGAGTCGAAAGGGCTGTCGGTGAATCGTAATCGGTGAATCCGTAATGCGGGATCTACAATAGAAGTCGTAGCAGTCGTAGGGTCTTAAGTCGTAGATTTGTAGTCGTAAATTGACCAATCACAGTCGAATATGAGAAGAATAATCAACTGTGATTGGTCAATTTTCTACGACTTAAGACCCTACGACTTCTATTGTAGATCCCGCATAAGGTTGGCCAACAGTCAACATTTAAGGTACCGACTACCGATTTTCTTACGACTGACCAATCATGTAGCTTCAGTAGCCATCTTTCAGTTTGAAAAAATAGTGCGAAATTTACGCGTGCATCATGCTTCATCATTCATCACTCTATCATATTACCAGTTTATTATTAAACACAACACAAATAAATGATTTTCTATTTTAGAACTGATTGTATTCAGCCCCTTTTCGAAAATTCAACTTCTTTCCCATTGCCCGAGCCAAACGACTCGCTATACAACTAGCGATTCATTGTAGTTGCGAAAAATCCTGAAGTCACCACTTAGGTTAAGTCCGGATCAACAATAGATGTTTTAAAGCCCATGGCACATACAAAAACGTAAGGCCGTAATACGTAAGCAGAAAGAAATCGTAAAATTGGATTCGCTACTGGTCTTACGGTCTCTATCGTGATTGGCCAATTCGCTTACTGATTATGTCTTATGGCCTTACGTTTTTGTATGTGCCATGGGCTTAAGACTTAAGCCATAAGAAATTGATCAATTACAGTCGAATCCGAGGGGAATAATCGACTGTGATTCGCCCATTTTTTATGGCTTAAGGCTTAAAACCCTATTGTAGATCCGAGGTTAGGAATCCTCAAGTCGAGGACGGACTATGAATACGGCCCAAGATCTGTTCGCGTTACATGAAATCCCCAAATATTTTTACACTTAAAATGGAATAGATATATATTTGGCTTTAAAAAGAAAGAAAGCGAAGATGCCGAGTGCAAAAAGTGCAAGCAACGCGACAGACATAAAGATACAACGACTTTTGTGTCGATCGTGTCTTCTAAAAGGAAAGCAGCCCACAGTCGACACAAGTGTCGTTCTATCTTTATCACTCTCTGAATGTCAAGAAGGATAGAATGATGCTTGTGTCCATTTGTGTCATCAAATGTAAAACAGTGTTATATTATCCTGTTTCGAGAAGTTTGCCCGGTTCGAGGTAGCTGGTGTCTTGCATTTTTATATACAGATTAGTCATTTCAAAGACCACTAATTCGTTACTGGCCAAATCGTCTCGGTAGTCTCGGTTGGTCTCGGTACAAAGAGTGCAGGCAAATCCAAGCAAATCAAAAAGGAAGGATGGAAGTTTCATAATATGTGCCCAGGGCATGTATTATTTAACTCTTTATTTTTATACGTATTATTTTTTGATGTCACAAATTGAGATAGTAGTGGCGAGTAAACAGGAGCATTAAATCCATAATTAAACCCATAATAGATAAATAGAAGAGTGAAGTATTATTAGTATTGTGTCTGATTGTATGACTATTAATTGTAGTCAAGCTAGCTGTTCAGCAGAACACAACAGTTTTGCAATCCTTTTATGATTGTCTGCTGAGATAGGACCATTCCTCTAGATCTAAAAGTATAATCCAATCAGTGAAGAAAATCTCCAACAATTGCAAAATAAACGTTCTGTTGAACGCAGCTAATATCGCGTTACAATTCAAATATTCGCAATCATGCGCAAGAAGGATAAATCATGAACGCATAGTTCAACGAACAAACTCCGTCCACTTAGCTTTTTTTTTTCAACGATAAGACAAGACTTTGATTATATTAAAAAATATTCTCTCAACCTAACATATTTCTTGTTTACATTTAAATAGATAGCCATGATTTACAACCGCGTTACACGGATGTACAATAAAATACAATACATATACATATACGTAAATCCTAAAAACGGTATGTGTACTTTGGCTCAAGGTTCCATACTTATGGAAAATCGAATATTCTCTACACATGACTTAATTTACAATGTTAATCCTACTTTAAGCACTTTGCGAATCAGTAACGCGTCAATACAGTCGCCGGCGATGCATTCAGTTCGTTTTTATAAATCGATTTCATTTATGTAATTATTTTCACGACTTTTCTAATTGATCAATAATTAGCTTTTGTTCTAATACTCGAACAAAAGATAAATGAATAAAAATTTTGTATTTTATTAAACTGTCTCTTATGACATCCTTATTTATTTCGAGTAACTAATTTGTATTTTTTTTCATAAGATATTATCTATAGAAAAAATCAATTTAATTCGCACATAGAATTTATAAAATTCTACTGAAATCAATCTAAATGGAATTTCCATCAAATATAATATAAAAAGATTTAATATAAAAATAAAATATACACATAAAAAGATTAACAATAAAATTTATTTAAAATTCGAAAAATAAATTAACGAAATAATAATGGTAAATAATGTTCGTATTTGTATTAAACCATTAAAATACAAATATTATCATTATTACGAAAAATGACAAATCATTTAATTTCAATTCTTTTTTAGATTACATTTAAACCGATTTTTAATTTATCTCAATTTTTATTCTAATTATAATAAAAACATGATTTTAGATAAATAATTAAAATAATGTTCGTTATAATATAAATAATTATAAGATAAAAGTTTTGTATGTATAGAGTATATTTCTAAAAAAAATATTCATCATGAGGAAAATAATTATTTCAAACTTCTACCAAAAAAATGCAACAAAAGACCCAAAAGGATTCCATGAATTCTCTCAATCAATTCTGAACTAGAAACCGTTCTCATGCTTATCTCAGATTATCTATGGACGGTGAGTATCAAACACGATCATTTAGCCCTGTTTACGGTCGTCTTAAAAATCCTTAAGTAAGAGATTGGACACAGTTTGGACAATTTTTGATTGATTCACCATATTTTTAAAGATGATTAAGATAGAATGATATAGATGTATAATAGACTTTCTACAATAAGTCATTATTTCAGTTTAAGTCTTAAACTGTAAGAAATTGACCAATCACAGTTGAATATGAAAAGAATAATTGGTCAATTTCTTACGGCTTTTATGACTTAAGGCTTAGGTAATGTATAAAGCTCATGAGATAGAATGAGATGCGTGAATATCCCATTTTATCTTAAGCAAGTCCTGAAAAATATAGTACATCAAATTCTCGTGTTCAATCTCTCATTTGAAGATCTTCAGGCTATCTTACTGCTTATCCTACCAGAGATTAATGACTTGATCTTTTACAATATGTCAGAAAAGCTTGTCACAAAATGTCAAGCGAATCTTAAGAAACGAATGTCGTTCGCGAGAATAGACTCCACTATGCTCTATTATGCGAAAAGTGCAAATTTTACTGTAATAATAATTTGTAAATGAACACTATGCCCCCCTATCAACCTTATACTAAAATAAAAGTTCATTTGACAGATACAACTGCTTGTGATTGTGTAACTGTAAAATGGGAACAGAAAATCAACATAAATTAACTTTATGAAAATAGGCGTTGTTAATCAGTTGTCGCATGATGAAATCTATTTTTGTGGCGCAAAACAAAAACCGAAATATCAATTGATAACTGTTGACGATTAATTGATAATTGTGCAAAACTAATAATTCTATAGTTACTTATCGCCATTGGTTATCCATATTGTACAATATATATAATTTAAAATTTTATAAAATCATTAATTAGTTCTAAAGTAATTTTGGCTTATCGACATATTGCTTGCCATGGTGGATAATGGTGGCGAAGGTGCCGGCCACCATGGCGCCCCAGAATAACATATAGAGTAATATTTCCGTTGTGTATCGCGATGGTAAGATTATGTGAGCGACCAACATCGAGGACGCGACTAAAAGAACAAGTGGGAATGTAGCATAACGCCAATTTCGTTCGGATTCCAAGGGACATTGAATGGAAGTACATTCACCATCCTGGACGATGTAACGACCTAGAAAGAGCTCCAACGAATCCTGTACAACAAAATATTGTTCAAACTATCATCAAAAGAGAGAAGATTGTTTTCAAGAATTATTTACTTGTCTATATCCATCGGCGAAATTGTTCTTGTAATATCTCGTCAAAGAATTTAAACCATCTTTCATTGCACCCAATTTTGTGCGCTTTCCAGTTCGTGTAAAGTCAGTTTTCAACGCCCCTGTACCCGAATATTGGATGCTTATTACATCTGCGTTATCCGCCCAAATCTAAAAATATTAGTAAACAATTTTTTTAATCAATAAAACTTTTTATTATTAAAAAATCAACATTTACTTATCAGACTATCTCATTTTTATTATTTAGTATTATAATTATTATTTATTATCTACATATCATAAGACTACTTCTTGTATTTTACTTAATATTAAAAATTTTTTTTAAATTATATGAAAAGTTATTTGAAAAAATAAAATACCTGTTTAAAAAGATTTTCAAATGCAGGATGATCTTCCACCTTTCTAAGTATCTCTAGCCTGTTCAATACTTCGTTAAGAACTCGCTTTGCCAGCATGCTTTGTACAACATTTGTTCGGTCTAAACAGTCGATACAATTTGTACGGAAAACACCATCCTGAGCCGAAAGCAATGCTCCGTCTCTCATCAATAAGAAATACCCCATCTGTTCTTGATCATGCGCTAATCGGTCCATTAAAGTGTTCAATTTGTCCCATCTCAGTCTTCTGCATTCCGCATGAAAATCAAAAGCCTCATATCGAATATTTTGGTTGTTAATTCTTTGCACTAAATTACGATATGCGTTTTCTAGTAATGCTTCTGGTCCACGCTGATCAATCTGTTCAATATACTGGTATGTTTACAAATATAACAGTTTTTTTTTACGAAATAAAAAATTTCTAAGCCAATTCTTACAGATAGTACAAATATAATTCACAAAAAAGATTTTTTCACAATTATTTTAATTTTATAGTATCTAAATATCATAAATGTAAAAAAAAATTTACCAAATTCACTAGAATTTGCTTTCCATAATGAAAGATTTGAACGTCAAAGTGACGAGCACAAGCGCTTTGATGATCCTCGTGTGGACTGATCTGTGGCTTTGGCTTGTACTTTAAATTTGGTGCTTGATACCAAAACAGAGGAATGGATCCACGTGTTTGCACAAAGGAACTGCAATTGCCATTCACCTCAATCAGTTGTTCTGTCTCTACATAATTGGATACATTCCCAGTGGCATCTATACCACGTGAAAATAATCTTGTTCCAGCACGATGTATACCACGTCTAGAGATAATACCCCAATTGAATGCAACACCATTCACAACCACTGTATTCAGCGAGATGACTGTATAATCAATTGTTAAGGAGGCTCATTACAGAAAAATATAAATATTTAAAAGTTTAAATGATACGACATTATTGAAGGATACAGCCATGAATAATAGGTAAACAAAATTTGTATTGCTCTGGTCTTGCACTTAGGTCCTGCAGAAGATAAGCGTTCCATACGAATCTAGGATCTGCTCTGTCATGAAGTGGCATCTAAATAATGACAGGTCCTTATCATAAAACTGCTTACAACACTGCATAAAATAACAATCTAAACACGCAACATATTTACTTGTAAGAATTCAGGTGTTGTGTTATGCAGCCTCTGCATAGTATGACTAAGGTCATAGGTGTAACTGAAGTAAAAGTATGGTGTGTTTAAGACAGATTTTACCATCTCCAGGTATGTAGAATTATTTTGGACCTGTTTCTCAGTCAAATGCAAAAAGGACCTAGTATAGGGTATCACATCTGTTGAAGATATTTTAAAGATGTTATGCCCAGCTATAGTCCCACACATCTGAGCATCCGTAACAACAATAAGGTAACGACATGCCAAGAGGTGTATAGTTCCTACCAGTCCCCATATTTTTCTACGGCTGGCAGTTGTTGGAATCTGATTAGCAGTGCCGACTGCAAAAGGAAGCAAAGATCATCAACTTTAGTTTAATTCAAACATATAGAATTGTCCGTTAATTACCTTGAGTATAGATCTGCTGACTCACTCTATCTACTACTAGCAGAACCTTGGTTCCAACTGGTTCGACGAAAAACTTCTCTGGAGTGGCATATCTTGGCAGAAATAAAATTAATAATTAGAGTGAGCAATAAAATTGGCAGCGCGCACATAATTTTTTTATATGTGTATTTTGTGTTGAATATAAAGTGCATTCTATGCAAATATATTCTTTCTCTATAATTACTCACAAGTATAAACTATCATATACATCCATATTTGGCATCATATTGTCAAATGATGAATAGATCAGAAGCAAGTAGATACGCTGAGCAGAAAGACGAGCAAGCGAGAAAATAATAATAAAATAACACTTGGGAAAAATAAATTACTATCTCCTGGTGAAACACAATCCATACATACACATGGTAATTATACAGTTTAGCCCCTTGCACCTCAAAAATCAATAAAATTAGGCTTTTTTGACGCGTTTTTGCGTAAAACGAAAGAATTTGGTACAAAAAAGGATAAACGTTGAGAATACCCTGCTCACCTTAAATTTTGATAAAAATATACTTAATTGATGCGTTTTCGCGTAAAAATTAAGATTTGACAAGAAAAAAAGCGTCGTTCTGCCCCGTGAACCAAGATATTAATTGTTAAAGTTTTAAAAGTTGATGACTATTCAGGTTAGGAAATCTGTCATATCCACGAAATACTATGATCATGAAGACTAGAAGCACAGATTATCAAAAACTAGAAGAAGCCATGGTATAAAGACAAGGGTATTGCTGGATTCACACTGCATCCGATTTTCGTCGTACGACACTCTGCAACCAATCAGAAAACAGGATTCCGATGAATTTTACTTCGTATTATCGGAATCCGGTTACACGGCAATTTTCATAAAAAAAGAGGGGGTAATGTTGGTAGCAACAAAAACCCTTGAGGCACCATAGTTTTATTTTCTACGGATTGGTGATATTTACAAGTAGTGATCCGTTAGTTTGCGCCGATCATGGTCGATCGAGTGTAAGGCCCTGCGCACAATAGAGGAAATATTAGGAACAGGAATAGATATTAAGATTTTAACCTATCAGATACCAGTTACACCGGAATACACGGTTTCTGATAGGTTGAAATCTTAATATCTATTCCTGTTCCTAATATATCCTCCATTGTGCGCAGGGCCTAAAAGTAGTGTAATTACATGATAATTCGTGAACTGTTCGCAAACGGCTGTCATCGCGGAGGTTTCGTGTTTTGACAGTTATGTGTATCAAGAGGTTAATAACGTCTTCGAGATTATTCAGATAAGTTTCATTAAATATTTTCATTACAAAATTTTTATTCTTACTATTTCATTAAAAATCGATATTTTGTGTTATATATTTTATTTTCAGTTATTGGTTTTCGGTCTAACACTATCAACGGTGTCAGTGATTATCCACTAATTCAGGTTTATTTAGATTATACTTCCTTCCACAACTCTTCCTTTTCCTCTCTCTCTTTCTTCTTTTTTCCTCTCTTTCCCTTTAATTTTCCTTTCTTTCAATCCCTTCTTTTCTATACACAATTTAACACCGTTGGACGCTCGATATTCGTCAATTTTGACCATTTGATCCTTTTTGTCGCTGAAATAGTCTGTTTAAGCAGTTCGTGAAAATTGACTTCAACACATAAGACATAAGAAATTCAACCAATCATAGTTCTTTATTTCATGGAAAGGAAGGAAACGAAGGATTTTGATTGGTTTATTTTCTTATGCATTACGTGTTATGCGTTACCCCGGATCTACAATAGATGTTTTAAGCCTTAAGGCCGCAGCACACTCTTGCATAACGCATAGTGCATAAGCGAATCAACTAATCAGAATCTTTCCTTTCCTTACATTCCATGGAAAAGAAGAATTTCGATTGGTCGATTCCCTTATGCACTATGCGTTATGCAAGAGTCTGTGCTGCGGCCATTAAGCCGTAAGAAATTGACCAATTACAGTCGAATCCAAGGAGAATAATCGACTGTGATTCGTCCATTTCTTATGACTTAAAGCGGAGAGCACAGACTCTTGCATAACGCATAACACATAAGGCATAAGAAATTCATCCAATCAGAATTCTTTATTTCATGGAAAGGAAGGAAACGAAGGATTTTGATTGGTTCATTTTCTTATGCATTACATGTTATGAGTTATGCAAGAGTCTGTGCTCCCCGCTTTACGCTTTTCCGCTGCATAGGTTTGCACCCTCAGGGCGAGTTCACACCTTGACGGAAAAGCAGAAAGCGGAAAAGCAGCAGCCACTCAGAACTCGCACTGGTAGTCGACAATTTCGGCTTTTTGTACTACTTACTACCAGCGCGAGTTGTGATTGGCCACTGCTTTTCCATAAAGGTGTGAACGCGCCCGCAGGGCGCACTCAGATGGTGCGGATCTTTAGAATTGACGTGTTTGATCGTTGCTTTAAAAGTTATTTTCAAGACTAATCACGTCAATTCCGCTAATTCCGCAGATCCGCTCCATCTGATTGCAAATACTCGCCTGGCAAGCGGGAGATCCGAATTTGATTTCTAACTCAAGTTATGATACTTTTTGCAATAAATTATTTGTACTTTTTAGATTTCATCAACATATAACAATTAATATTCTTGTTAAAAGATGCTTATTAGCGTCACAAAATTATTAAATTACTTGTACAATTTAATAAGATATTACTATTCTAGTTCCGTTCATGAATTTTAAGTCCGGAAAATCATTTCGGCGCGATATGCACAGAATCAGTATGCATATAAATTCACACAAGAAATATGTATTTAAATACTAAGATTCGCTCCGACCGAATCTAGGATTCTTCTTATTTAAAATTTGATTTATTCATATCGGTTTAACAGCTACTTCGTATTATTTACTGTGATTTTCTTTAATGTTGAAATAGCATTTATTATAGCGATAGTTCACTGATGTACTGCGTAATGAATGCTTTAGTCTGTCAGCTAGTATAAGAGATATAAGTAGTAAGAGAATGTTATCTCATTATAGAAGCAAACGGAGAGACACGCATGTGGATATCCCTACCACTGTGTGTTACTAATAACCAAAGACGTAGAGAATGGACTGCGCGATCCGTGGTCAAAATGGTCGATAAAAGTAAGAGAGAGAAACCGTGGGAGACGGCCAATCTGTATCTCTTTCCATTCAACGGTATAATGGGAGAGAGAATGAAAGGGAGATTGGCCGTCTTCCACGGTCCTTCTCTCTCATTATTGTCGATCACATTTGATACATTACTTAGATACGCATCGCGCAGTCCATTCTGTATGTCTTTGTTAATAACATATATGCCGACAATCGTTGAATAATCACTCGAACAGTTGGCTGTATGCTGAAGGAGTAGATGGACAGGCTGATTGACTGATTTTCAGTTCGTCCGTTGTCGACGAAGGCCTACGAAAAAGATCGATTGTTGTTTGATGAAATTGTCGACTTGTGTCTACTTACCTTGAATTAAATTTATTCAACATATTTTTGCGACATGCGGAAGACACACCTATCCATCGTTTTCTCTTTAATCGTGGTGTTCTCTACTTGTTGTTTGACTGTCAATCAGACTTTTGTGAATACGATGAAAACAAAAATTAAAATACTTGGTGTCTTCGGTCATACTGGCAAGAGTCATTTTGACGTATTCAAGCCGCTTCTGGAGGAACTAGCTCGAAGAGGTCACGAGCTCACTGTGATCTCGTATTTTCCTAGGACCGATAATGCCAAGGCGAAAGAGCCACTGCCCAATTATAAGGACGTCAGTCTGGTGACCAAAGATGGTATCTTCGTAAACGTTATAGATCTTCAACAAATCAAACACGGATGGTTTCGTCCCATGCAGGAGCTCTACTTGTTGAAGACCATGGCAGATTACGCGTGCAATGCCGGTCTGCGAAGTTCGAGTGTCAAAAAGTTCCTTCAATCCGACGAAAAATTTGACTTAATTCTCACAGAGAATTTCAACACCGATTGTTTTTTGGGTTTTATTCATCGCTTTAAGGCGCCATATATGGCCTTATCATCGCATCAAATTATGCCGTGGACCAACAGTGACATGGCTAATACTGATAATCCCAGTTACATTCCGATTGTAATGCTTGGATTGACTAAACCTCTAGATTTCTTCAGTCGAATAAAAAATACATTATGGCTGTTAGTGTCTAAAGTGATCTACGAATATTACTTCCGATCTGTCGATCAAGTTGTCGCCAACGAAATCTTTGGTCCGGATCTTCCCAAGTTGAAAGAAATCGCCCTCCAATCGCAAGCGTTATTGGTGAATATCCACAGTAGCATTCATGGCAGCAGGCCTCAGCTGCCGAATGTGATAGAAATTGGTGGACTTCACATTCCGTCCAGAGTCAATCCGCTACCAAAGGACGTAGCTGAGTTCCTTGACAGCGCCCATGAGGGAGTGCTGTATTTCAATTTAGGCTCCATGATCAAGATGTCATCGATGCCACAGGAGAAGCTGAATGTTATATTAAAGGTGATTGGCTCCATACCGCGGAAAGTGATTTGGAAGTGGGAGACTGATGAACTACCGCGCAAGCTGGACAACGTTATGGCCAGAAAGTGGCTGCCTCAGTTCGATATAATGAGTAAGTGAAAGGATATTCCCTTCTTTTTTTTTATAGAACAGCATGTGTTCAAGGTCGAGTTCTTGTATTAGGGCTCGGCAAAATTTGCATTTCTCGACCGATTTTCAAGAGCGCCCAAAGCGAGTGCATCTCATATCTTTGAACGTTAGACGCTCCTAAACGTCGAGCGGTATTTGGACTGCACGCGGGGCGAGCGGTGAGAGGAGTAGCGGGAGGCAGAGCCTCTCGAAAATCGGCCGAGAAGTGCAAATTGTGCCGAGCCCTGTATTAGACATATATTTAACTCTGAATTAGTCTGAAAGCACAAAAAGAATAATTATAAACTAGGGGCCGTCCATATATATATTACGTAAGTATAATTGGGGGAGGGGGGGAGTCAGACAAATTATTACGAATGCTTACATCGAGGGGGAGAGGAGATCGCATATTCTTACGTAAGACTTTTGTCTGAAATTTTATCAATGCAATTATATATCATTCGTGTAATAATATTGAAAGAATCGTATAACTGCCTTGAAAACTTTTTAGTCTTGGACATGTGCAAAAATCTTACATAATTATAGGGGGGGGGGAAATGACAAAAAATTTGCTTACGTAATATATGGACGGCCCCTTACGAGAAGTTTGAAAAGTCCGTGCAAAGTCTAAAATATGGCACCACCAGTACGTATTGAGATTATTTTTAGTATTTGGCAACTCTTGGAGAATCACAAATTTCAGTGAGATAGATCCACTACTCTGTGTTTGGCGTTTATTTGAATCGATCAAGTACCGTGATTTGCGAAAAATGAATAAAAAAGAATTTCGTGTAGTATGATCACAAAATTGTTCGATTTACGCTACGAAATCTTTTCGCATCCTACTTATTCTCCAAATTTGGACTTCGTTGCGTAAATCGAACAATTTTGTAGTCACACTACACAAAATTCTTTCTTATTCATTTTTCACAAATCACAGTACTTGATCGATTCAAATAAATGCCAAACATAGAGTAGTGGATTTATTTCACTGAAATTTGGTATGTGATCCTCCAAGAGTTGCCAGATACTAAAAATAATCTCGTACGTATTGATGGTGCCATATTTTAGACTTTGCACGGACTTTTCAAACCACCCTTGTATTAACTAGTATGGTGGGTAGAAAAATGAAATTATTATTTTCTATTCTTAATAATTTCATATAGAAACATTTTTTTCTTCTTATCCCCTTCAAATCCTGCGTATATCAATTGTGATGTACAGCCCGCCACAAAAAGGTTGCAAAACTTTTTTTTCGATGGGTTTCAATGGGTTTCAGAATGTAGCCTACTTACCAAGCGATTAGTTCTTATTTGTAGACCCATAAATAAGAACCAATCGCTCGGTAAGATTAAATTTGAAGATGTTATCTGTTGAAATTATTTAATTCTGTCGACATTTTTTAAGATCTGATGTACATATAATAAGTAATAATGTATACGTTAAAGAAATAGACAAAATTTTGAGAAAAAAATTGTTTAATATAGATTACTTACTAAAGTGCGCATGAATTAAATTAAAAAATTTTATTAACATGATTCCAATAAAATCAAGTTTGAAAGGGTTAAAGAAAATAGTAAAAGTTTACATTACTATTTTAATAATCTATTGCAGGGCTTGGCACGATTTGCGCTTCTCGGCCGTTTTCGACTCGGCTCCGCTTTCCGCTATTCTTCTCACTTCATCGCCCCGCGCGCGCGCCCAAATGCCGCTCGACGTTTAGGAGCGTATAACATTTGTAGATATGAAGTTCATCCGCTTTGGGCACTCACGCTGTAAACTTCATTCTCTTTTTTTTCGTTTATTATATAACTAAGATAGAATGAAGCAACGCGTAAGCGCTCAATCTTACGCGTTGCTTCATTCTATCTTAGTTATATAATAAACGAAAAAAAAGAGAATGAAGTTTACAGCGTGAGTGCCCAAAGCGGATGGACTTCATATCTACAAATGTTATACGCTCCTAAACGTCGAGCGGCATTTGGACGCGCGCGCGGGGCGATGAAGTGAGAAGAATAGCGGAAAGCGGAGCCGAGTCGAAAACGGCCGAGAAGCGCAAATCATGCCTGATCTATTGCATATGTGATTTATTTATTCGAATTTAATTGGCGAGTACTATAATAAATAAGAAATAATGCGAAATATATAAAATAGAAGTTACAAAATGACGATAAATTAAGTGTAATCGTCCTTGAGACGTTTCAAAGTAAAGTATGTTTACTATTTGTGAGTGTTTATTATCTATGTTGCATCATTTGATAATTTCTAGATTCTATTGGTAATAAGTAGTGTGACGCTAGATCACACGTTGCATGTTTCATATATACGTGGCATTAAAACATCCAATTCTATTGGTAATAAGTAGTGTGACGATAGATTACACGTTGCATGTTTCATATATGCGTGGCATTAAAACATCCAATGCAATAAGATACCGAGATTGATTTACAATCAATATTTGTAAAGAAAATTAAATATTTGCGAAATAAGAGTTGAATAACAACAAACTCAGCTTATCGTTGTCGCTCGGTAGTTCATTTAAGAATTTTCAATCTTAATTTTAGCGAAACGTTCTTTAACGAATATTAAATCATTATAAAAAAAGTTGATATTTATATTATGTATTCTTAATATTATTATTTTAAGCATCATTATTTATTTATATTTTTACACTGACTACATGTATATCACATGCTTTTAAAATAGAATGCACGAATTTTGCGATTTAATATGTAAAGATAAATGCGTGATTTTTTAAATAATTGTAGAGAAACCAGACGTGCTATGGTTAAACTTCAGAAAATGGGCGACCAATTCCAATGATCTGATATGTTGTCAAGGTCATGACCTTAAGTGACTTCCAACAAGTTTTAGCCGTCGCTCGTTCTTCGTTAAAAAGTTATTAATAAAAAAACTTATAAAAATAACGTTTTATTTCTACTATACATATACAATAATCAGTACTATTTTATACCTCCCCTGCTTAGGACCATTCGACTTTCTACGCGAAACGACTCTGACCACCTCTCCCTCCCACCCTGCAAAGGGGCGCGCGACTTCCACGCGAAGCGACTTTCACTCCACCTCTCGCCCTGCCTAGGAGCGCGCGACTTCCACGCGAAGCGACTTCCATCCCACCTCCCCCTGTGCTTACGGACAAAAGAAATAAAAAATTAAACATACGTTTAATTTAAACTTTTAGATCATAAACATTTATTATAAATATTATGAAATATTTATTATGAATATTATAGTAAATGCTATGAAAATACTTAATGACACATTATATAATCCAAATAAAAAATACTTATTACAAATATTTATTTATATTTATCATAAATATTTGCATAAATTATTTAGTCTATATTTTAATATTTCGAATAAAGCTTTATATAAAATATGTATGAAATATGTATATAACATTTCAAAAAATGAATATTAATAAATATTTATCATAAATATTCTGTGCTGTCTGGGTATGATCTTAGGCCTGTTCTTTTTGGCTGAACTTTTGCACCAGTTCATCTTTCTTCCTTTTCTCTCCAGGAGGAAAGAAGAGGAAGAAAGATGAACTGGTGCAAAAGCTCAGCCAAAAAGAACAGGCCACTTGACAACATATGTTAAGGTCATTGGAATTGGTGAAGTCGTCCATTTCCTGAAGTTTTACCGGTAAATTATATACATATTGAAGCGTATATAATTCAAGATCATATATTTATTTTTCAAAAATCTTTTCTAGGAGAAACAGCTAACACGCTCTTGTACCAATAACTGTAACAAAATGTCCGATCGACGGCTAAAATCTCTTGAATGTTGTTCAGGATCCAATAACATTTGTCAAGATCAAGGTCATTGGAGATTATCCCTCTTATTTTCACTTTTGCACTAAGAATTCATTTTTACGTAAAAATGAAAATAAGAGGTGACAATCTGGAGGTAATAATCTCCATTGACTTTGATCTTGATAAATGTTATCCAAGATATGATCCTGAACATTCAAGAGATTTTAGCTGTCGATCGGACACCTTGCGTAATGCTAATACCGGCGGTACTGTAACTTTCAAGCCATATAATTCGAAAAGTACTTAATGAAAAATAACTTTATTATAATGTTTTGAAAATCTCTTAATACCAGCTATTAAATTCTGACATCAAAAATATGATATTCCATTTAAAAAAATCGATGTGACCTTGACTTGACCTTGACGATGTCACCCAAAGTCAAATCAATGGTACCTTCTTATGTCCTCCTCTAAATCATACAACTTTTGTTTGAAACATTTTTCCATATCTATCAGTTTTCGAAAAATCTTAATGCATTATTTAAAATGGAACACCCTGTATACTTGTTTTATTTTTCTTTAAATGCGTGAGGGATACGAAGAAACGATAAAAGAAACTGCCGAGTTTAAAGGTCCTATTATTAATCGTGATGAGTGAAGTATGTACGAGGGTAAGTCAATAAGTTTTTAGAAAAACATAGTAAAACACATTTTTTTTTATCGATTCATTTTTATTTCTCAACATAATCTCCTTTCAGCTCGATACACTTGATTTAACGATTCTCCAACTTTTTCAAGCTGTCTGAATAATATGATTTGTCCAACTCTTCAAAATAAGCCTCTGTTTCGGCAATGAGCTGCTCTCTGGTGGTGAATCTCTTTCCTCCGAACCATTTCTTCAGGTTTGGAAACAGGAAATAGTCGCAGAGGACTAAATCTGGCGAATATGCTGGATGGGGAAGCAATTCGTAGCGGAATTCATTGAATTTGGCCATCGGTGCCGGACACGTGTGAACCCGTGCATTGTCTTGATGGAAGAGCACTTTCTTCTTCGCCAAATGGGGACATTTTTTCTTTAAAATGTTATTGAAACGGTCCAATAAGGCTGCGTAGTAATCACATTGATCGTTTACTTCGACAGAAGGTAATCGATATGAATTATACCGCGTGCATCCCAAAAAACTGCGGCCATCACCTTTCCGGCCGATTTCACGGTCTTTGCCTTCTTCGGAGCTGATTCACCCGGCGAAGTCCATTGTTTTGACTATTCCTTCGTCTCGGGTGTGAAATAATGGATCATGCTAGAATTTTTTGGCCTGTAGTATCGTTTCCAGCATTCGAAAATCCGTAAGAAACATTTAATCCAGTTCAAAGTAATTTTTTGTTGTAAATTAGTTTTATTGTCTCTCGAAAATGAGATGTTATTTCTTTCATCTTTTTGTGAGTAGACTTGAAGTAGCAATTATAGTATATTTAATACTTAGGAATACTTGCACAAACTAAATTATTGGATCGCAACAACTTTCATCACCTCACATATTTCTTAACTAATGTAAAAAATATTATATTTTTTTATCTCGCGCTGACGACTACATATATCGGAGAAGACGGAAAACGTAGAGATAAAAAGTAATCGATGAGTATGAAGTAGAGTTTTTTTGCCGGTTTGTACAACGGAAAAAATCTGATTGCATAAACTGATAGATTCAACCAATTTTGTTATAAAAATGATCGAATCAGAATTCTTTTCGAAATTACTAGATGAGCATGGTTAATAATTTATTACATAAAATTTCTTAATAATATCTACTGAATTTATTTAGGTCGGCATAACCTATTAGTAAAATAAGTTATAATTAGTTTAGAGTAAATTTAATTAAAGGTTTTATAGAGAAAGAGCCATTCAAAAATATTAATTAATCCTCATAGTTAAGCCTATTAAACGAACTAATAAAATATCAGGTTCAATCATGAAACCAGCAATTCTGTTTGGTCTCAATCAAATGATCAAAATGCATTCTACCATGTACATCTCGTTATTATGATTAGCACATTTTCTTCGATGTCGCAATCGTAATTTACGCAATAATGTTTAACTCGCAATTTAGTTATGCAAGACGCGTTCTTGCATCATCAATCGTGTCAATCGCATGACAAATTCTCGCGGCATCGATTGCGGTCGCGGGATAATTCTGTCTCGCGATAGCCGTTTCCACGAATAGCGATCACACTTTTACAGCACGGACCAGTCTACGCGTGCGCTGCAGATCTGCAATGGTAATGCTTTGCTAAAAATTTAATCTGGTCGTTTTAGACATCGTTTGACATATTTTATTGCTTTTGCATTACGTGCGTGCGTTTAATGATCGACGGTCGCACCTGCGTGTGGCGCATCTTTACACTTATATTTCTTCCTTTATATACTGGGAATATGATTGGTTGGATCTATAAGTAACAATTAATTATGTTCATTTGCTCGGCAAGCAGGCTAGTCACTTTGTCAATTTGAACGCGCCCAATAATATTCCTTTCCCCAGCTTTATTTAAGCCTGTCACACATAAAATGCATAAAGCCGGTTCTACATTAGTTGCAACGCAATATTGCAAGCGCGTCGCAAGCGTTGTGGTCCAATCAGAGTCGAGCTAGATTGATGCTGATTAAATCTTTAGAGAAAAAAATGACCTCAACCTGGACCTCAACAAAAATATTTATGTTTTTACACAGTCGGATTGACTTTATTATAAGCGTTGTTCTATCAACTTGTATAAGATGCTTAAGTATCTCCCAGACTATAACTGATCTTTCTCTCTTCTGTTTATTTTAATTTTTATTTAAAAAAGTTCCTTTAGTGAAACAAATTTTCTAATCTTGAGATTTTTTTCGCAGCTGATTTGTCCGGTTCTTCCTTAATCTTTTAAATTGTCAATTGATTCATTATTGTTAGTTGTAATTGTCTTATTATATTTCCAGACCATCGGAATGTTAAATGTTACTTGGGTCATGGCGGACTTCTCGGTCTCTCGGAGAGTGTTTACGTGGGTCTACCAATGGTCTTAATACCGATATTCGGTGATCAGTTTTACAATTCTGCTGCTGCAGAGAACAGAGGTGCCGCGGTGGTGGTTGCATATAACGATTTAACTGAAGAAACATTAAAATATGCTCTGGACAAAATTTTTAATGATACCAGGTATGCCTTAGATTGCCGACTTTTATTGCCAGTAACTCGTATGAGCAACTTGATGGCAATACTTGCCCTCTTATAAACTGATTGTATAATAAGTTGTTAGAAATCACAGAGCAATATGACAGAAACAGTTTTCGCTTAAAATCTTATTCTCATAAGTTACCAGTAATTTGGCAGCATTTTAACTGAACGAGCTTTCCGAACGTGAACGAAATGTAATCGAAGTCCTCGGTATCATAACAATTAGCGTAATAACATTTTAAAGTATCAGATTTCATTTACTCGGTAAACATTTGAAAAAGTACTAAACTGCTTTCATCTTAGAGCCCTTGGGGCTTATTTCGAAAAATTATCTCATTAGAACACAGCTGAAAAATCTTTTAATGCTGCGTCTTTTATTTTATCTTATATCGTTTTTTAAAATCGAGAAAGTTAACTCGATGCATCCCTCTAGTGGCGATGCCGCATACTGCTTGACAACGCTCCATTTCCATTCAATTGATAGAAATGTGGACTAAATATTTTACGAAAACGATTTCCAACAGATTATAGCAATATTTATGGCAATAAGTTTGTTACAGCATTTCCGCTTGTTCGCGCAAACTGTTGTCTGCATAATGCCCTAAACGAAATTATTATTGTCCTGGTGATAGCAACATGATGACAATTGAAGAGAAACTTGTGCTAAATCCATTTCTTTTCTTATGCCAAGGAACGTTTTGTCTAAGACAGGACGTTTTCAAGCAAATACACAGTCAGACACTATATAACACAGTGAATCATTCATCCTTGTTTGACGTAGGCAAACAACAAGGATGTAATGATTCACTGTATTACATTGTCTGATCGTGTTCTTACTGGAAAACACCCACATGCAAAACGATATCCATCCCACCTCCCCCTGCCTAGGGGCATATAACTTTCCAGGCGAAGCAAAGTCCACCCTACTCCCTCCCCCTCCCACTAAAGGCGCACGCAATTTTCTATGCAAAGCGATAAAATGAATATCTTTATACAAACCTTATTATGACACTTTAATTTGTTATATCTTCTAAATTAATGTAGTCACTTAATTTTTATGGGGTCTCTTTCCAACAATATATCTCGGGGACATTCAAATAGTAAAGTGTAACTTAAAAAATATATTTACCGTTAAGTCAATCACTTCTGTTGATTAACGTATGGTAACGTTTATCTAACTTATTCATGATAATATCTAACTAGAAAATCGGTTTTTTATTTGCGTTACTTTTGAAGCAAGAGAAGTAGAATTTAATATTCGAATAGAACGCATAACAAAAGAACAATAAAAAGGGATAGAAAGATCATTTATTTTTTTGCATTAGAAAAAGAATAAAAGAACGTATGCAGATTCCAGTATACAATTCATTAAAATATCTTCTGCTTTCAGTTACCATGAGAATGCCCAACGGCTTTCGAAAGCTTACCGTGATCGACCTGCTACGCCAATGGAGACGGCGATATGGTGGACGGAATACATCGGCCGGGGCAATGGCAGATTTTACTTCCGTAGCGACAGCACAGGTTTATCCTGGTACCAGCATCATCTTATCGATATAATGCTTGTTTTGATTATTGTCTCCATGATGTTCTTCTTCCGATTGATCAACTTGCTGTTGTCGTTGCTCAGATTCTTTAAAAGAACATCTAGAAGTCAGGTCGAAGAGAAGAGAATGTTGAAGAAGGACAACTGATTACGTCGTAGCCTTAGACATAGGCTACATTTACACCGTACGACTGATAGCGACCTATATCGTGACCCAAAGTAGGTCTAGTCACCAACCGTTTATACCGAAAGGGACTTAAAAAATGGTTGGGTCATATTTAGTCGACGCTGGTCCGAATTAGAGCCATCTATCGTATTTTGTACAAATTATTTCGATATGGACCCAAGAATCGCTAAACGCATGCGCATTAAGTCATGAAAAAGGCGCTTATATCGAGTCGGTTTGAGAGTTTAACCTAATCTAACTCTCAAATTCAACAAAACAGCTGTTCGAGCAAAATGGCTACGAAGCTTCAGGTCGGATCAATTGCGAATTTACACCGAGAAAGCAGACGACCTATTTTAACAGGTCAGGTCAGGTATAGTAGTATTTACCGGGAGCGGCCTAAATAATGTGACCTGAATTAGGTCGAATTTAGGGTATAGGCCGCGGAAAAAACGTACGGTGTAAACCAGGCCATAGGCTACGTTTACACCGTGCGCTTAGTCCGCGACCTATACGATAGATGTCTTTGTTTAACTTACAGGACAAACAAGGACATCTATTGTATAGGCCGCGGACTAAGCATACGGTGTAAACGTAGCCATATACTATTGGAAGAGGCATAGGCCGCTGAACGTGAAGCCATGGTGGAATTAGGTGGCCCTTAGGCCGGAATCAGACTATGCATTGAAGATTGAGATTGAAGATTAAAAATTCAAATTTGACCAATTGAAATGAAAGGAGCTATAATTTCTTTGTCCTTATTGGTCAAATTTCAATCTTCAATCTTCAACCTCAATCTTCAATGCGTGGTCTGATTCCGGCCTTAGAAAGGTGAACCAACGCGCATAATGGCGGATGTTGGATTTACACTGCATCCGATTTTCGTCGTACAACGCTCTGCAACCAATCAGAAAACAGGATTCCGATGAATTTTGATTCGTATTATCGGAATCCTGTTTTCTGATTGGATGCAGAGCGTCATACGACGAAAATTGGATGCATCGTACGACGAAAAATCGGATGCAGTGTGAATCCAGCAGAGGATCCGTCACATCTGAGATCTCGACCAATCAGAAATTGAGCTTATTTGCAGCGTGATCGAGGGCAGAATCCATAGACGTTGCTTAAAATTCTTGGGTCTTAGGCCGGTATTCGTAGCCGATTCTTATATTTAA